ACCTGACTGAAAACAGAAACAAAGAGGGAAACACACAGTGAACAGCAGCAAAAAAGAGAGAAAACTCTCCTTTTGAACATCACATGAGATTGGAGTGTTATTATTACAACTACTGTACATGCACACAGTCAGTGTGTGGGATTGACAAGTGTATTTACTAAAAGGTATGACTCTAGAATTGTCCTTGAAGCAGCTTACAGGAGATGCTTGAATACTGTCTGTATGATTTAATAACCAAAGAATGTGGCTGTCATTCATACGGAATGACATACTTAAGCGAGTCGTGATGATCTCCTAAACTGTAATGGAGTTGGCTAAGTTTGAGGAAGGCTGCTCGGTTGTCCGCACGGAGACGTGTGGCTGGTGTCAGGTCCATAATGGCCTTCCGTGGATCCCCGAGTCGGATGTAGCACTCGGCTCTTAGTTCGCGAGACTCTGGATCCCAAGGAGAGAGCTGGAAAACAAAGAAAAGTTTTTGAATCACCGGAGACATGCTAAGCTTAAACGGCAACATTTGATTTGTTATTTGTTTTTGTATTTTATTTGTAGGGCCACTCATTTCAACAGCTCAAATTAGAGAAAGTGGGATAAAGAAAGTCATAAAGTGATACATGATAAAAATTCATAAAGAATACTTCACCTAAACATAATCCAAAACTTTCATATTATCAGTGAATAATGACTTTTATTCATAAGGAATGCATTCAATTGATCAAAAGTTACAGTAAAGGCATGTATAAAGTTACGTTTCTATTTTTAAATTAATGCAGGTCTTCTGAACTTTCTATTTATCAGAGAATCCTATTTAAAAAATGTTTCCACAGAAAGTATTAAGCAGCACATCTGCTTTCAACATTGAATATGAGAATTTTTTCTTGAGCACCAAATCAGATTTTTAAAGGATCATGGGACACTAAAGACTGGAGTAATGGATGCTGAAAATTCTGATTTGCCATCACAGAAATAAATTCAATTATTTTTTTTTATTTTTATAGTTTTAAATTGTAATACTATTTCACATATTACTGTTTTTACTGTATTTTGTTGGCCAAATAAATGCAGCCTCGGTGAACCTGGTGAAGAGACTTCTTTCAAAAACATAAAAAAAATGTTAATGTGCTGTCAAACGATTAATCACGATTAATTGCATCCAAATTCCAAAATAAAAGTTTTGTTTACATAAAATATGTGTGTATACTGTGTATATTTATTATGAATATATAAATACAAACACATGCATATATATTTAAGAAACATTTGCTATGTTTATATATATTAAACATATTTATATATTATATATAATATAAGAATATAAATATATAAATGTATATACATGTAAATATTTTCAAAATATATACTGTATGTGTGTATTTATATATACATAATAAATATATACAGTACATATATTATGTAAACAAAAACTTTTATTTTGGATGCGATTAATCGCGATTAATCATTTGACAGCACTCATTTTTACCAACCCCAAACATTTCCACAATAGTGTAAATCTCCGTTTCTAACTCAAACAAAGCTACTGTGTGTATTCAGAATAGCACACAAGTTCTAGAGATGACTTTTATGATAATTTTTGGGTCCTTTTTTAAGCTTGACAGTATACATTACATAACACTTCTGTTTTACAAAAAAGATTCTAGAATCTGAAAATAATCGTATTTTGTGTTTCACTGAGGAAGAAAAAAAAAAGCCAAATGGTTTCGGAAAAACATGAGGATAAATAAATAACATCTTTTTAATTTTTTGGGTGAACAATCCCTTTAATATTACTATTAACACATGTAGCAATAAATAAACAACACCTGTTGCTGCATGTGCATTTTTGATCTCCAGACTAACTCACCTCTATGACTTTCTCCAGCACCTGGACAGTAGTGCTGTAGTCTCCACGGTGATGGGCCTCATGTGCCTCTTCCTGGAGTAACTCCAGCTCCTCGGCCTTGCGGAGCTGATCATGTGCTTCCTCATGATCCGGGGAACGCTTCAGCTGCAAAGGAGAAACGTTAACAGAGCAGGAGGCAGGAAATAGAACAAAATGGAGCAAAACGTGATCTGGTTTGAGAATGAAGTTGGCAGGTTTTAAAGGAATAAGGGAATTGTTTCACTCACTACTGCTTGGAAGTCTTCTCTAGCCTCTTGAGTACTTCCCTGTTTCAGTAGAATATTAGCCCTCTGCAGTCTGGCCTGAAAACACATGCACACCATAAACATGTATATACGGTACTGCCACCTAGAACTTAGTTTGATATCACGACCACAAAAATAAACTCACCGCAAGGAAGTCTGGCTTGAGCTGTATGGCCTGGGACAGGTCAGGCAGAGCTGACTTGGACTTTCCCATAGCCAGGAAAACAGCGGCCCGTTTGTAGTATGTCAGGTAGTTCTTAGAGTCACCCTCTGTTTAAGACATTTGCATTGGTTAATGAACTGCATCTTTTCTTTATTTTAAATTACCTACGTACACTGAATGTAATTGCATTTTAATACTAATTAGCATCAAATAAAACAACAAAATGAAACTGGTCTGTACATTTTTTTTAAGTCTCTTATGCTGACCAAAGCTTTGAACAAAAATACAGTAAAAACTGTAATATTGTGAAATATTATTTCTATTTTTTTTTTTTTTGCAATATATTTAAACATTTATTTTATTCCTCAGATGGCAAAGCTGAATTTTCAGTATCATTTCTCCAGTCTTCAGTATCACATGTGACATGATCCTTCAGAAATAATTCTAATATGCCGATTTGGTGCTTAAGAAACTATTCTTATCAATGTTGCAAATAGTTGTGCTGCTAAATATTTTTGAGGATTAAAAAAAGTTTGAAAGATTCATCTTTGATTAATAAAATGTTCAAAAGAACAGCATTTGCTTGAAAAAGAAATCTTCTGTAACAGTATATATGTCATTAATGTTATGCATCTTTCTTAAGTAAAAGTTTTTTTTTTGTTTTTTTTATTCTTACTGACAGCAATCTTTTGAATGGTATTGTAGCCTCCATATGTCACTGTGTTTGTGTATGTCTTACCCACAGCTGAATGATAGTGAGACAGGGCCTCAGCCAGTTGTCCGGCTGCCAGCAGCTTACGGCCCATTTCCAGATGATGCTCAATCTCAACAGGTGTTGCTCCTAACACACCTGGAATAAAGAGACAGGTGACTTACACATGACACCTGCTCAATTTCATAATGAGGCAGCTTTGAAAACCCTCAATCTGCCTGATGGGACTGAGATTACATACCTTAAACTTACATACCCAAAACAACAAGTGTTTCTATCACGTCATAATAACGAAACTCCTTAAAGGGAATTCAACATGGCATTCCACTGCATGTATGTTTCGATTAACAATGACAGCACAAAAAGTGAAACCATGCAAACAGCACCCTGCCTTATACAGGTGCATCTCAATAAATTAGAATGTCATGGAAAAGTTCATTTATTTCAGTAATTTGGTTTTTGTAAAATGTGAGCCAAAATCATCACAATTAAAAGAACCAAAGACTTAAACTACTTCAGTCTGTGTGCATTGAATTTATTTAATACACGAGTTTCACAATTTGAGTTGAATTACTGAAATAAATTAACTTTTCCACGACATTCTAATTTATTGAGATGCACCTGTAGTTATGGAAAACAAAACAAAAGTAAAACTAAAATCACCATCTCTACTTAACTCTAGAACGGCTTCTGTTTCAACATTAACCAATAAAGATCTTTAAAAGCTTTAAATGTATGATATTAAGTTAACCACTCCTAGGTATAAGGTAGATAGATGGCCATTATATGTTTAGTTGTCACAATAATGCATACATTAATTAAAAAACGAACTACCACCTCTAGATCTCATTAAGTACATCAAATAAATCATGGTTTATGTCCATAAACATGGCGTTACCATATTAAATGTCCAAATAATAACACGGTAGTGCTATGGTGCTTTTCTGTTTGACCAAAATCAGATTCTAAAGTCAGAGAAATTGAAAAATGAGCGGTCAACCTAGACAGTATCAGATGACATCAAAATGCTGTCTAGATAGGAATCTTACTAAGTTTTAAAAGTCAATATGATTTTATTCTATTTCTATTTAAAAGACTTCTTCCTTGACACTTCCTGCTGAGCACCTGTTGGAGGTACCATGGTAGAATTACAGTGCCAGATGGTGGAATCATGTTATTCTGATACAGATTTCATTATTACCATATTCCTGTCCCATGATTTAAGTGATACTTCCATAGTATTACCATGGTCCTTGTCCAAAAACATGGTAATACTATGGTACTCCCCAGACAACTGGAAAAAAAAACCCGGAAAAAAATATTTCCTTAAAAAAAAAAAAAAAGAAAGTAAGATGTCAGGTGTGCATGAGAAGTGAAATCTCACCGTCCAGCTGTAGGTCCAGGACCACACAGAGCAGAGACAGGGAGGACAGGACACTGCTCAAACCTCTCCGCCGTCCCGACTCCATGGTGACATTTATCACACCCCCGATATACAACCGTGTCTTTCCACTGGGACTCACAACGCAGTAGGTCAATAAAACAGAAAGAGTATTTACACTCAGATCATCCTAACAGCGACACATCCGACATAGAATGCGATGTTTCTGTTGTCCGGATTATAAATATGTCCGAGTGGAATAAAGGAATGCGAAACTCTAGTTCCGTGTGTCTCTCCGCCGACTGCTGAGGTTAAAACGTGTATTGTAATTTATAGAGAGGTGTTTCTTAGCCCCAGTGTGACAGTGACCGTGCACAACTGCTGCCGGCCACGTACTTTAGGAAGTCTCCTCTTGGTGAACCTCCTGGCTGGGTTTACAATTCAAATCGCCCTACATTTCAGCGCGGCGACTGGCTGCTCACATCCGTGTTTGCCGACAAACGTGTTCCCGTCCCATTGGCCGAATCATGTTAGCGCACTGGACGGACACGCCCACGTCCTGCATTGGGCTGATAGCTGATATGACCCATCATTACTTGGGAGGAAAAGTCTATTCTCGCCTGGCCTTTAGTAAAGGAAACCGTCGTTACCATGGTAAATATTCTATTCTATTCTATTCTATTCTATTCTATTCTATGCATTATGTTCTTACAGCATTATACAACACAACAGAAAATAATAGGACTTTATAAAATGTCCCATGTTAACCTTCCACCAAAAGTCTATTCTCACCTGGCCTTTAGTAAAGGAAACCATCGTTACCATGGTAAATATTCTATTCTATTCTGTTCTATTCTATTCTATGCATTATGTTCTTACAGCATTATACAACACAACAGAAAATAATAGGACTTTATAAAATGTCCCATGTTAACCTTCCACCAAAAGTCTATTCTCACC